ACATACTATCTACATCTTTCATATAAAGAGAGCCTAATAGTCAGTGGTGTCAGCTAAAGCCTCCAATTGTAAGAGTATTTTGACATACTGTTAAATGTACATGTAAATGTACAAAGCTAATTTTCAAAAAATTTGCACTTGTTACGTAAAATGGGTCACATGCAGGAGGTTACATTCACAAATGGAGGCTTCATATGCAACTGATAATTTCCTCAAATTAGGAAAGTTGTAGCCCTTAACTTTTGTCTACTTAAACTCCTTATAATTTATGTCACTATCTTTGCAAGCCAAAGAAAAAAAAGAAATCAAGTTCTAAGGATTCAAGGACTCATTTATTAGTACCCTCCTTCCTTGGTGCTTCCCTGATACAGTCAAGACTAAGGGTTAGCTTTTTATCTCGCATATGCGGCAGCAAGAATATAAAAATGTGGGAAAATTTGGGAGACGGACACTTCAGATAGCTAGAGGTTTGATCTGCATAAAGCCTGCTGTAAATAAAAAGAAAACATTCATTATTACTGACTGGAAATAAAATGCACACGCCTTTTGGGAAGCAAAGTAGTCACCAGATACTCCACATATGGCAAGTATATTCTAGGGGAACCAAACACAGCTACCAATGAGAGAGACTGCCCCCCCCACCCACGCACACAATTGTGTAGGGGTTAGTAACCTACAGTCCATAAAAAAGATTGGATCTGCTCCACAAAGGTCTAATCTAGGCCGCATTTTACTAAGGGTACACTTGATTCCCCAGCCATTTGATCTGGTCTGTGTTTTGCTAATGGCACACCAACTGCCTCTTGTTACTCCAGCCAGCTGGTATAGCCCATGTGGAAAATGTGGAGGTCTTCCTTTCAGGAGCCTCTGTTCAATGTTGCTGGAGCAGCCAGAGGGGAATGGTGGCCTGAACTGCTGGATGCGTTACAAGCTACAGCTTGCATCTGCAGAAGGCTGCCAACACCTGTTCCAAGCTATTCTGGTCTAGCTGCATTCTGGAAATGGAAAAGACCCAAGAAAAAGACACCAGATCAGCCAGTGCAACCACTGGATCTAGGCCCTTTCTGGTTCTACAAATATAATTCTGCAGTGTTGTAGGAGTCACAAGTATAGACAGAAGATCTAGCACTATGGCCTTGGGCATTTGTTATCGTTAACCTCAGCTATATTTGAGTTTTCCTTCATCATTGCTAGTGATTTGAACAGAACATGCTATCAGTTTGACATCATTGGCAGCGCAAGTTTTCCTAGATAGCTATATCTGCTTATCACCATGGAATTCAGCTCTGCCAGGAAGTTCTTTAAAAGGATGACAATTAAATCTTCAAGGCACATTCAACCCACATCATCTGTTCAGAAAAGAGCACAAGTCCTAAAAAGAATCAACTGATTGATCGGTTTTCAGTCACTACTAGCCTGACTTTGATTTGAACCATCACTGTATACCTGAATGAGAGAACCCACTAGGATGGGGCCAAGTGAGTTACTAGGTTTTAAATAATAAGCAGTGAGTTTATATTTGCCACTGATTTGCCTTAACTTTCCTGGGCACTCCGGCATAGAAAAGCCCAAGATTGCTTATGTATTCTGCATTAGCCCTTAGGGGAAAATGTGTAAACAGTCCTGGGAGCAGGGACTAGACCCCAGGACTTGGCCCTCCTGGGCTAGGGACAGACATTCAAAAAGCCTGAATCTGAACTGATTTAATCTTTGCAGGTAAGTCTAACCTGGCTAGGATGAACCAGTTTGTAACCACACATTCTCTCTGGACTGAAGAAATGCTAGAAACCAGGTGGCGCTAGAGTAGCCCTCCCTCCCCTTCCACAGTGCTAAGATGAGGGGGAAAGGTGGCCAGGCCAGCAGGACCTATGATTAGGGAGGGTTCCCCACCCTCACTGTTGACAACAGAGCATTTAGTTACACAGCAGGGAGTTGTTAACATTTATCAGCCCATCAAAACAAAACAAAGCTCTCTCATTAGTTCAAGCTCTTCTTAAACAACTTTTTCCAAGGAAGGAATGGAGGGACATTACCAGCTACCTGTTGATAGCTCCAAAAAGCCCTAAGCCTGTCTGCTTTTGTCCTGGCTTCTCTTATAGCCTTCTTTATTCCAGGCACAGTCATGGTGGGCATTTATGTCAACCTCAGCATGTGGTATGCTAGCTAATGCTGAGAGTTGATTACATAATGCAGAGGGGAGGGGGAATCCCTGCTTGAGCAGGGAGTGGTGGTGGGGGGAAAGGGAGAGGGAGGTGAGCAGGAGGAAGCCAGGCAGAAACCGTTGTACCTGCAGTCTCTGCTAGAGCTGGAGCAGAGGGGTGGGGCCAGCCCCACTGGGTTGGAACAGAGAACAGAGCCCCGCCCAGGGTTGCAAATCATCTAGTATGCTGGGGGACTCTGGTTCAACCTAAACCAGGGGGTGTGGGATAGATACTGCATACAATGGTTTGACCCAAATCAGTTAAGTCTGACACTACATTCAATCAGGTTCATCTCAAACCAGTTTCAGTCATTTTCAAACTTGTTTATGTGCACTGAACACCTATTCCATTACAGGTTTAAACCAGTTTCTGATCACTTAAACTGGTTTATGTATAATGTCTGTCCCTGGCCCTGAAGGAGGGCCAGGGACAGACATTAAACATATCTATCCCTGGATCACAACATTCTGTTTCCTTCTGCTTCCTCCCTCTGGTCCCATGAATCTTGCAGCCTTGGCTGGACAGGTACAAAATACCCCCATCCCAACTTTGCCTCCATCCTGGTGATTAAGACATTCTTGGGAGATGGGAGAAGTGGGTTTGAACCCCTTCAAGCTGAGGGCACTGAACACTTCCATTTGCTTTTCACTTTCCGGGCATTTATTCTATCACTAGGTTATCATATTAGAGTGGTGGGTACCACCATCAATATTACCACTTCCTCTAAGAAAAAAAAAAAGCTTAAGCTAATCACCTATGCCCAATGGAATGACCACAGGCATTTACATCCAGGAAAGGGCTTTGAGCTGTGAATCCCAACCTCACATAGGCACTAAACTGAAAGCTGCTGGTAGGTGCTTACATCGCAGAGAGAAGTAGAATTTTAGTCACCCTCTCTTTGGCTGCCCTCCATTCAATGTGCTAGGTGTTCTGACCCCCATTTTGGGGAACCTAAATCTTCCCATGTATTATATATAGGGAACTTTCCAATATAACTCACCATTGCAAATACCTCTCCAGAAGCAGAGCGCCAAAACACCTACATTCTTTGTTGATCTGGTCTCCTAGTGACAGTAACATATCTTGCCCTCAAAGCAGAGAAGCAAGAGTGGAGGAAGGAAAAGGAGAGAAATCGTAGTCTGTGGCCTACTCCCCTGTGGAAAGACTCCAACTTCTGTGGATGTATCTGTGGCTCAAGGACTGGACTCTTAAGTTACCTCAAGACCCATCAATAAGCCATGGTAGACATCATCCTTGAATCAAGGGATTGTCAACACTGACAGCAAAAGAGAGTCAGGGCATTTGGGACCTACCAGAAAGTAAACTGGGGAGTGCCTTTTCAAGGGACTCTGAAAGAATAATTTTCAGCTTTGCTTATGCCACACAAAAAACAAGCCTTCCATCAATAATTAGCAGGTTAGAGTCTGATTCAAGGCCAGTGAAAATTAAAGGAGTCTTTCTACAATCTCAGTTGTCTTTGAATCAAGCCCTAAAACAGTAGTAGCTATATTTTCAGATTCCTTTGATTTCCTTGCTTAGAATGCAAACCCTTTTTGGATGGCTAAATTTTGTGAAAAAGGTGCACATAGCACCTGAGTGAAAACCATATATTAGATAACTGCACTGATTTAACCTGATCAATTTAAAATCAGTTCAGTTTAAGCAAGTGCAATTTTATAATTTGTAAAGGAAGGAAATACAGCTAATCTCTGCCAACAAGGCATGAAATGAAAGGGTCCTCTAACGTTTGTCACCTGCAGCACTTCAGCTTGAGAAGCATAGGAAAGTCATAAGTAAACGCGGACAAAAATCAAGTTCACTAGCAGAAAATAATGGTAATTGAAATACGTTTACAGTTTGGCATTTCTGCATCCCTGCAGTAGTTGCAAGAGTGGGATCTACCTTTCCAAACTATAACTTCCAGTTTTGTTAGTTACAGTAAAGCTGGCAAAGGTAGTAAAATTACAGATGCAAGGTTTGCCAATGCGGAAACAGCTAAATACAAAACAGATAAATGTGTGGAAGCTATGGAAGAGAGAGGAACTTTCTGAAGTGGGGGAAAGGAAGAAAAAAGGATTGCTTGGCTTCAGAAAAGGTACAGACACACTCATGCCTGTGTTTGGACCTGTATGTATCAAACAGATTATCTGCAGGTGACACTGAACACCAGACAGACTGGGTAGCAAACAAAGGATGACACTGAAATAGGAATAGGTTTTCTTTGACATGGATATACAGATAGGGTTTATCCGCATTAGTTTTTGCAAATTTAATATAAGACTTGGTTACAACTCTTCAGTTGGTTTAACAAAATGATTTTTCATTTTATGTTGAGTCTGACTATCATAAAGATTTATACATGCTTAAACTGATGAGAATGCATTTTGTGAACAGATCTTCAACTTCTCCCCCAAAAGGCAGCAAAAGTTGGGATATGGATGCTAACCCTGCTGAAATTTTCTACAGGAAGGGCTTTCTAGTGATATCTCTTACTGGACCAACTGCATAGTTGTGAGAGCTGATGGACAAGCTTTTGGACAGTGGACCTGAGGAAGAGCACCTGACACCCAAAAGCTTGCTTGTCAGCTCTCCCAGCCAATAAAAGGTATCACAATAAAGCCTTTCCTCTCAACATTTCCTGAACCATCACAGCTGCAACAACACTCCAAACATTTTCTAGAACACTAAGCATAAAGGAATAAGAGGCCTGAGCAGTGCTGTCTGCACTTGATAAAAACACAAGGAGAATCCCATATGGCTAAATAAGAGAATTAAATTTAAAGTAGTAGGAATACCAACCTGTGACTGCTGAAACAGAAAGCATCTCTTTGGATTGATACCACATGCAAGGATGGTAGCGGTAGTGTCTAGGATGCTCTGACTCAGAGAAGTTGGGTCCCTGGGCACTGTGAGGGAGTGCAGGTCGACAATGCTATATAACACGGAGTTATATTCCTCCTGAAGTCTCACCCAGTTCTGGATGGCTCCCAGGTAGTTGCCCAGGTGGGGAATCCCAGTTGGCTGAATACCAGAGAAAATTCGATCCATACCATTGTTCTGTTACAAAAAAAAAAAACAAACCAAAAAAAAAACAAACCAAAAAACCAAAACAAACAAACAAACAAAAAACACAAAGAAAGAAAATGAATACTACTAGTCTTCACTACAGGTACTTTACTTTGGCTGTCAACGTATTTTTCAGACGTTAATTATGCCTCACTACTCTCCATTCCCTCTTTCCTGCTGTGAGGCAAGTACACGCTGTTATGTGGGAAAAAAATCTCAGCTCATGACTGCCCAGAGTTTATCAGTCAATAAAGATTCCTATTTTTTTTTACTTCTGAAAAAAAATATTCTAGATTTCAGCATTAAATACTTGGATTGCACATGCAACAGTCCTCATAGGAAAAAGGATGTTCCACTGGTTTGACCACTTACCTTGGGGCATGGCAAGTCCCACCTCTATCACAAGATGCAAAAAATTCTATTGTCCCTGTTGTCATAGCATCTGAGTGCCTTACAATCTGGTAGGGCTAGGATCCAGAATTACCTGGAGAAATGGTCCAAAAAAATCAGATGAAATTCAACATGGAACAACTAAGCACTTGGAATGGAATAACCAAATGCACAAATACAGACTGGGGAATGATTGGCTAATCAACAGTCAGTAACCTCTTTTAGACTGTGGGCTGGAGTGAACCCATTCCAGTCAGAGATGGGCAAACAGCTACTTAGACCCAGTCATCACTGCTGCTTCTCTCTGTGGTAGCATGGTGACAGCACATGAAGATGGTGCATCTTCTGTGGGGACAGGGGAAAGTGACTGCTGCCAAAAGTCCCTTGCCACTGAAGTCCCTGATGTTGGGCCAGATTAAATGGTTCTGTAGGCCAAATCTAGTGCACAGATGATATGTGGCAGACCCCTGGACTAGGCTGTAGTACTACAGAGAAGGATCTGGAAGTTACAGTCGGCCATAAACTGAATATGAATCAGCAGCATACTCTTACTTACGGGGAAAGGTTGAAAAAATTAGGACTGTTCAGTACGGGGAGGAGAAGACTGAGGGGGGATTTGATAAAAGTATTCAAATATCTGAAGGGCAATTATAAAGAACAGAGGGGGCCAACCTTTTTTGCAGGTGTGCCACACAAGTTCTAAAACCTCTCCAAGTGCCACTCCACTCCTCTTCCCAAGACTGATTTTTTATTCTTTCTGCTCTCTGGCCTGTGCTCCCTGCCCAATCTAATTCTCTGCTTTTACCTTTCTGTTTGCCACTGTGTGGCCTGTCCCCTCCCTCATCTGCCTTGCATCACAAGAGGTTGCCTGTGCCACAGGTTATCCATCCCTGGGAAGGATAGAAATAAGACTTTTTTCTGTGGCCACATGGGACAGAACTAGGAGCAACAGCCTTAAATTACAGCAGATGAACTTTAGGTTGGAGATTAGGAAGAACTTTTTGACTATGAGGCCCCTGCCACACATTACACCTAAGATATGATTAATGAGTAAATCACATCTTAAATTGTAACCTGGCCACAAAAATCAATGTGATAAAATGAATAAACCACAAGTTAGTTCCACAAAAAATATGTAATAATTTGGTGGTTGGTTTCTATCACTCCACATTAACTCAATGTGTGGCCAGGTTAGACCCTGTGGCTGGGAGCCCTGTAAACTGATGAAACTCCCAGTTGTGGGAGCATACCATGCACCTGAGCTTGGGAGCTCATAGCTGATGGGGCTCCCAGCCACAGGATTGCATCATGTGCTCCTAGGGCTAAGAGTCCTGTCAGCTGATGGGGCTCCAAGCTGCGGGTTCATACCATGCACCCCATCAGTTGGTTTGAGTTCCCAGCCACAGGGGAGAACGGTGTGTCCCTGCAGCTTGGAGCGCAGGTCAGATGCAGGCTCATTAGCCCTCATGGCTGGGTCCCCATCTGCTGATGTAGCTCCCAGGTGGAGGAGCTTGCTACTTTCTGATGAAGGGGGAGCCTGGGATCCTAATAAGACAATAAGGTGTGATGCAATCTGATACATGATCTCAAAAATCACACCACCTGTAGGGGTGGACTGCTAGAGATTTTTTGGGCTGATACCAATGGCTGATTTTTAATAAGGCATATCAGCTGATACTGATCTGATTGCCAATATGCAGCCCAGAAGCTTGTACAGCAGCGTGGGTCTGGTAAATCTGTTGTAGGGGAAGTGGGGATGAAGATCAAGGCCCCCACAGTGAGGGAGGGAGCAGGGCTGGGGCAGGTGATCCCCAGCCTGGGCACAGCATGGGACAGAGCCGCGAGCGCCTCGTCCGGGGAGCACAGGAAGAGTGGTGGGGGGTGACTTCTGCTGCTACACGCACCCCAGGAGGGCATGGGGGGTGTGGTCCCCAATCTGTGCATGGGACAAGAGCAGGCTGTTGCTGTAGGTTGGGGCCAGGGCTGCACTGAGTTCTTCCCGGCAGAGAAAGTGGGGCATTGGGCTGGCTGTGCTCAGGGCGGCTGGCAGCTCTGGGAGTGGGGGTTATGGCAAATTTTGGGGAGAGGGGCTGCAGCACCCCCTGTAGCTCCCTCTCCCAGCACTGCCACCAGCCACAAGCGCAGCCTGGTCCAACCCCACCACTGGGAAGAGCTTGATGCAGCCCTGGCCGGAGCCCACAGTGGCAGCCCTACCTCACCTTGAGCACAGATGGGGGGGGCACATGCCCCCCAGGGTGTGCGTAGCGGAAGGAGCCATCCCCTGCCCCCTCCCTGCACCCCCCAGATAAGGTGCTTGTGGTTCTGTCCTGTGCCCTGCCTCAGCTGGCCAGCACTTGCCCCTGCCCCAACTCCAGCCCCACTCCCTTCCTTACCATGGGGGCCTTGATTTGCACCCCGCCACACCCCTACCCACCCCTCACAATAGATTTACCAGCCGGATACTACAGTCTATGCTGCTGAGCTACGCTCCTGGCTGCCTGCATGCTGCGCATGCGCACTGCATTTAATCGATGCCATTGACTACATCAGCCAAAAAACGCCGATTGCCAATACTGTCAATTTTCCTTATATTGGTGCGGATCCGATATGGGACCCATGTACAGCAGCTCCAGCCTCCTGCCATGCATGTGTGGCATGGCAGGAAGTGTGACTGTGTATACTGTCCAGCAGATCCCATCACGCCATCACCAGCATGTCTGGAAGGACCCTGAGGGTGGTCAAGTATTTGGAATATCTTTTTAGAGAAGTGTGGAATCTTCATCCCTTGGAGATTTTCAAAAGCAGGTTAGGAAGATTTAGTCAGCGATAATCCTACCTTGAGCAGGGAGCTGGACTAGATCAGGGGTTCCCAGTACCAGGCCATGAAAGGTTGACTGCTGATCCACAGGAGGGCTGGCTGCCGGATCAGAAATCTGGAAGTGACCGGCAGCCAACCCTTATCATAGAAAGAAGGACCAGAAGGGACCTGTAAGATCATCAAGTCCGGTTCCCTGCCATGGGCAGGAGGTAACTGAACTCAAACGAGCTGAACGAATTATTTATCCAGCCTCCTCTTAAAGGCTGCCAGAGATGGTGACTGCACCACCTCTGCTGGAAGTGTGTTCCAGATTCTAGTTACCCAAACAGAAAAGAAGTTTTTCCTTGTGTCCAGCCGAAACTTTACCTCGACTAGCTTGTGTCCATTGCTCCATGTCTTCCTGGGTAAGGGGGATGCTTTTCTGAAAAGCTGTTCTCCTACATCCTGGTGTTCTCCCTTGACATATTTGTAGGTGGCTATCGAGTCACCTCTCAGCCTTCTTTTGCTCAGGCTGGACAAAACTAAATCCCAAAACATCTCCTTGCTGGGCCTGTCCCCCAGGCCCTTGATCATGTGGGTGGCCCTTCCCTACACCCTTTTGAGCTTGTCCACATCCTCTTGAGTATAAAGAAGGGTTGGCTGCCTGCCCACAGTATTCTAATCCGCAGTTTGCTGGTCCGCGGTCACTTCCAGTCCACAGCATAAGAAAGTTGGGAACCCCTGGACTAGACGACCTCATGAGGTCTCTTCCAGCCCTACTTTCCTATAGTCCTACACAAATGAATCCATCCTGAATGCAAGGAACACATTCAACATGAACTACTATTTACTTCCAGAGAGGCAAAGGAGGGGAATTTTTGCTCTGGACCTGCAACTTATTTCCCCTTCAGCATAGTAGCCAAACTGATAGAGAAGCTAAGAATCACAGTGGAAAGAAAACCAAACACTTTTACTGTAAATACACACAACATCAAAAGGAATAAAAATCAGCTTCTCATTCCAATGAACTTCAACAGCTCATTGTAGTCAAACTAAAAAATGACAGTACAGTTTTAAAAGAAAGTTGGTTGCTAGTCTCTAATATTAGAATAATGAAACGGGTATTAGTCCACTGAACTACCCTCTGCAGCTATAAGTTGTCAGTGACAGAAAAATGAAAAAATAAATAAATAAATAAAATCACACAGCAAACACTTGCAGTGCAGCACAAAAATGACACCAGGAGTACTACATCAAAGTCTGGGCATGCTGATATTAATAATATCAACAAGCTGGAGAGTTCAAAAAGCAGCAAAAATGACAAAGAAGCTGAGAAACACTGGCTTGTAAAGAAAGTTTAAAAGAATTATATGTGTATCCGTTGGCCAAATGACAACGAACATCTTGGAAAGTTTGTTTTACTTTGCCCCTCCTTACTGGCTGACCATTCTCTCAGAGACCAAGCTGTCAGGATTTGATCAATTACCTCCAAAAAATTTCCCAAAATTGTTTTCTGGGTGCACTGAATTTAAGAAATGCTTTATGTGGAAATACTTTCCACAAGCTACATTACACAGGTGTGCACATGTGGGAAACCAAGTTAGCTAATAAACCCCATTTTCATCCTTAGATATGAAATCAATAGCAAGAACCTACACAAATGAAATATTTGATATGCCAAAGAGATATCAAATTTAATTACACTTATATTTGACTTTTTTCTATTACTGTTAAGATGGCCAATCTTCTAAATAGGGCCATTTAGTTTTTTGGGAGATGGGGAAACACTGACTGGAGCATGCCC